AATGTAGTACGATACAAATCCATCTCATGCCTATCGCCAACCGCCGGGCGGTTACCGCCCGAGACGGAGAAGGTTTTCAGGGATGCCTTCTTGAGATGGAGCACCCGCCGACTTCTCGAGAAGGAGGGCGCTGTCGACAATGGAGACGAAGATCGTTGAAACTCCATTACATTGAATTTCAGTATTCCATAACCGAAAGTTTGCACACTTTGTCTGAGGCTATTTTGTTCTTCATAAGAATCTTATGATGAGATCAATACCTGCGGGTGGGTTGACTATATCACCCCCAGAAGATACGCCCTAGTAGTACAATCAGGCTGCAGGACCACGCAATAGGTCCTATCGGATAGAAAGATCAATGCCGTTGGTACGACTGGAGTATTTCCTACTTCAACCGGGATAGGGCAAACTACGCCCGTGATCCATGATGAGAGTCCTCAAGCACTAGTTATGCAGTCCCCATCTAATCGAGCACAGTTGTGAGGACATCTTACATAGTGCTTTCACTGTCGCAGCGGCATTCGAGCATCACTGCTCGTAATGATGTATTTTCTTGTTAGGAAACGTGTTTTCTCACTCATCACGCCGAATTATGAAAGCCCCAGTAGCCAACCCAAGAGTAACCCTGCGAGGAAAGCGAAACCCGAGAAGTGATCACCTTCTTTTGGAGAAGCGGATGTTGATTCTCTTCTTTGCATTCAGTCATTTGTCGTCGAGTACATTGTCTCTCTTGAAGAGATGTTTTTGTGTTATTCTGGAATAGTTATCGTGCTGGATTCACTGTACAGAACACCGAACACGAAAAATGAGAAGAATGAGCCTCGTTTGTTGTTGCGGTTCCCACTGCAGAACTCAATCGTGATGGTGCCGACAGAGTAGAAAAATTCAAATCGTCACAATTTATCACATTGCAGCGCTTAGTCGCTACGAAATAAACTATCTACTGCGACGTACGCATAAGAAAGTGGAAAGAGATTATTAACTTTTCAGCATATTCAACTATCAATCACTACGAAATCAACTATCTATTGAAGTGTACGCATGAATAAGTGGAAGAAGAGCAATGCGATACGAACTTAGTGTGCGTCTGAACTAAAGAGCATTCTCAATCTCTCACAGTAAGGATCGATGCCTTCAAGGACCGATTGCCTGCCTCAAGCTGCGAACTTAACCCCTTCCTGGTGGGCAATAGTATGGCAAGGTGTTGTAGCGGCTACAGTGTAGCCTTGCAGTAGTGTAGGATGCTCATCGCTATTATGAGGCTGCAACTTGAGTACTGAGCCATCCACTCGCATGATGGTGGAATTGATGAACGTATACGGTTCTATGATATCCTAGGCTTCTTTGGTCCCATCAAATCGAGTAAAAATGAATACTGATTGCCAACATGGTCATGAGGGGGGCCTGGCAGCCTAATTGCAGCAGAAATGGGTGACAAGGGCAAGTTTATGTATTGATTCCTGAGGAGACTTCCAAACCAATACGTAAGTTCAACTGTAAAATGGTTGATGAAAGCGAAATCGGTGTCATCGGGCTTCTGCCACAGTGAAGTACGGGATTCGCAGTGGAGCCCAAGAGATATACGGTATATCAGAGATAGCCTATACTGGATAGGAGAGGTATATCATATACCGCTCCTATCCAGTATAGGCTGTCCGCGGTGATCGGTTTATTCTTTGGTAGTAGACTTATCATTATGGGAAGTCTTGAAAAGCTGAAGTGCTTTTTTCGCCAATTTTGCCCTTCTTTGTCTTCGTTGCATTTTATGTTTTTTTTTCGTTTTTTTCAACCACTTCTCTCATGTGAAAAAAGGAATGAAAAGAAGGCAAAGACTTGCGTGCGTGGAATGACCAGCCATAGCTGAGTCCTTCTAGCGCAAGGCACTACTTCTGTTCTCTCATACGTAGGATTGAGTATTGTTAGTATCTACCTCAAGTATCTATGCGGAACCTGTGTAACGTTATCAATAAAGAGAGTGATCAGAGTTGATACAAAGAAAACATCTTCATGGAGATACTGATCAGAGATGCCAATCTACACCTTTACAATCTCAAATTCAACAAGTGAAAGAACAAATTAGGTAGACGAAGTCTGATTTTCGACGAGTTGAAGGAGTTTTCACGACAATTCGGAATGAAAAATCGATTTTCGTAGACCGGTCGAAAGCGAAAGTTCGAATTCGTAAATGAAATTTATGAATTCGGAAACGCAAGTTCAAATTCGTCGAACACAAAACCAATTTCGACCAATTTCTAAAGATCCAAAAGGAGGCCCTTCTGAGGTTATGGCAAGTCAACGCCCGCACCTGAGGTGCCACTTGATCCAGAAAGATCGCCGCAGATCTATTTTGACGGTCGCTACAATGAGCGTATACTCTTCACTACTCACTGCGTGGACCTTCACTATTTGTGCGGAGCTTCTTGCGGAAAAGTCGTTATGCTCTTTGAACTAAGTTTATAAACTACCCGAAGTTCCAACGTCGCGACACAGCGACTTCAAAGTACAGCTATGACGTCATCGACTAGTGTATTCAATCATGTATTATGTCCGGATGGAGTCATCGTCGATCATATCTCCTCTGTGTTAGGTACCTCAGGTATCATACCTGTCATCAGATTCACATACGGAACTGGGGAAAGTGTGCGCTACTGTAGGCATCGAACTTGGAGAGGTGGGAATTCCTCTAGTCTTCTGCCCATCTACACCTAAGCTGCCGTTGAGATGCCTACGAGGTCCGACTTTTCATGAATTTCGCCAAGTCAGGGGACGATATTCGTCCATCCTAGAATGCTCAGTTAAGTCTATTGGAGTTACTTTCCTAAGTAAACTAGGGTGACTTGGACTCAAGAACCATATAAATTAGATCTGAGACTGGTTACGCGTAGACGATACGCCTCACCTGATTACCGACTACACATGAGCGTTCCAATGACAATGAAGAATGATGATAGTTCACGTCAGGAAGATCAGTCGGAATACATTCCAGATTGATGCTCCAGGGTGATTTAGCGGCTAGATAGTGTCTAGCAGACACTCATGGTTGAGGACTGCAGGACTCGACGGTCTATGGTCTACACTGTGGTTGAATCAGAAATTATCAAAAAGATGAATGATTGAATCACTGATGGTCAAGAAGATGAATGGGTCAATCAATAATGGTCAAGAAGATTAATGGTAAGCTCAAATATGTTCGAGAAGATGAACATAGCTATTCCAATCGACACGCAACGGCTCTCAGCAGGGGTTCAGAGCGAAGTTGCCTAGATTCACAACGAGAATCTTGCCGTCAGTATACTTGAGGTGCGCAAGGTCAGCTCCACTAATGGGCGCTCCAATCTTTTCAATCAGTGCGTCCAACTTGTCTACGTCCGTGACGGTGATGTCGCCATTTGAAGAGTCGTAAATGTATTTAACATCCTTCACGTTACCACCTCCCGCGTCTCCGCCAGGGGGAGTGTATACAGCGTAAATGTCGGCTGTCGTTGAGCTTGTGATGACGATTTCGACTGCAAAGTCGCCGAATATGGTAGACCCTGACCCACAATACTTGCCGGATGGCTGGGCGTCCAGTAGACCGCTAAGAGCGAGAAGAAGAAAGACCAAGGAGTACTGATGCATTTCGTATTATACCTTATCAACTGAGGAAAAGCTCTCGGGTATGGCCGAGTTCATGATGGACTCACAAAAGCGCGAGGGGAGAACCGTTCGTAGAACAGATAGTTCATCCGGATCCCACTGGGATCATCCCAGTCTTATCGCGATCGAACGTAATGCCAGTCACAGGCGCAGAGATACGCGCATAGTAATAGTGCAGGCCCTGCACTTCAGGGGAATAGCATTTTATATAGCTATTGGAAGATGCGTGAACATAGTTTGCAACGCAAATCTGGACCCGACTCGCGGATTCCGAATATATCCCGAGGATCTTATCAAGCTCCTGGTAGTACTTCAATCTTCTCAGTCTTCTTTATAGTGTTACGGCTCTTTCCCATCAGGGCTTGTCAGATGCCTAGCCTGCGGTGTAGAGCGGAGGTACTTGTTGTGCGACACCAAATCTTTGTGGTCTGTGTAAATTAGAAATATTATTATTACAACGTCCCTTTCGGAAAGCTCAGTCACATAACGCGGGACAATCCTCCATCTGATTATCCTCCGTCAGCTGCCGGTCGCGGATTCCGCAATCCGGGGTTATCATGAGAAAACTTCACATTCTTCTATGAAGCTGTTCACACGTGAAGACCTGGCACGCTCGCTGATATGAACTCAGCACAACCCTGATAATCAGGGATATGAATCAGGGCCTGATTCATCGGAATCCATTCAGTTCATCACCACGTTAACGAACTCTCGCGGATAGTGCGATGACTCTAGTTTCACTGGCAGAGAATGGTTGAGCGGCTCGGGATTATATCGGACACTTCAAGATTGCTAGATTCTTCTACGATGACAAGTGACCGAAAGCTCCCCTTCTATCTCTTCATAGTTTGAAGCGCAGAATCCTGTCTCAACGCTAACAACCCGTATGCAACTCGTTAGGTAGATTCATAGCCCCACATGGGGAAGAGGTCTCGGCATCAGGACCGCCATTCCTTGCAGTGTCCCAGATCAAGCTGAAACAGAGGGCCTTGTCTTACGCAGTAATACGGGGCCAGTATGGATGATGTTTCACCGAAAGAGAAGGTATTGTTTTGACTAATGATGGTATGGCTAAGGTCGAAGCTCTTTCTAACAGACCGTACAAGTATATACTCTGCGTTAGACTGTAACGGTTATAATGAACATGAGATTCTCATGTTCACTATAATCAACATTCGGGTTCGATGAGAAAGTCTTCGGGGGAGTTGCGACGGTCCCATTGGGACCGTCCCAAGTGAAGGCGCAGTAAATGGTAATACTGACTACGAGGCCCACAGTAACTGGCCTTTAGACTTGTCACCAATCTTCCCAATTCCGGCTTCACTAGTCTTGGACGAGCCGACCTCGATGGGACTCTGACACGAGTACTCGTCGGCCGCGCCGCCAACATGCCAGGAGGTGATGTACTTGACGGGATCGCGGAGGAAGGACTGGGGGCCGACCTTTTCACCGTGTACATGGATGCAGATGTTGATGGCATGGTTTTGGAAATGGAGGCCAGGAATAGCTATATGGGCAATCAACTCTATCAACAAGTGTTGGTGCCGCCCAGCCGGAGCCCAAGGGGGACATGAGTCTGTTGATGAGCTCCATGCCACTAACGCGGGTTCTGTTGAATGCAACATGGCAGCACAGGACCCGTTCGTCAGTTCCGCATTCCATACTCACAGTCCCGCGATTGGATCTGGGCAGTATTAGCCAGAAGCTGAGCGTCGTCTATCTTACGCTCTTATCCCATGGGGGGATGCGAACCAACTGGATGCTTGATACTGGAGTTTTGATGTCTGATTTGATAGATCATGGACATTGGTCCTCCCTCCGACGTATTATATCTGCGTATGGCAGAGATCCCAGTGATAGGTTCTCGCCGTTCGCCTCTCTCGCATCAGTCTCTATCAGTAACGACCTGTGAGTTTGTGGACAAGTGTTCTTTGTAGGGCGAGATACCATGAGTTAGATCATCTAACTCCAATTTGTTCTCGATCGTGTAACCATGTCCGGATCTGCATACGTGAATGTGGCCTCGCAGTGAGTCTTCATTTTGCGGGCCTCAGTTTCGTGTACGCCGCTCCCTACCTCAGCGTATATGGGCTTCCTCCTCTGTGGCGATTCTGAAGTTTAACGTTTGGTCAAAATTCCCGAGGCTACCGTATCTTCACTCTGGTTCAAGTGTGTCTACGTAAGAGTAGGCACGCTACCTCTTGTACGCATGGCCGTTGTCTCCGCGTTAGACGTTCGCACAACAACCTGTTGCTCACCCAGCGGTGTATGTTAGAAGGATTATATCGCAACGCCCCCTCATAGAGCTTAGTCACATAGCGTGAGACTATTTTCCAACTCAATGAGAGCTTCTTGTCGGTTCCGGACTCCGCAATTCTACGACTGTCATGGAAAGAGTTGATATTTACTATCTCGCTGTTCACGCGTCCGGAACTGGGAGTCGTGATGATATAATCTCGGCATTACCCTGAATTATGTGGATCGGTTAGTTCATCACCGACGGTGATGATCGCCGGTACTACGGATCACCGGGTATCACCCGGTGATCACGGTGAACCACCGCGATAGGGGACTCTTCCTGTCAGGAAGTTCCTGGCTGTGCGTTGAGGGTCGTTGGTTGAGCGACGAGGGGTTATATCAGAAACTTTGTAGGCTGCTAAATCCTTCTACGATGGCAAGCAATCCAAAGCTTTCACTCTATCTCTTAACAGTGGTGCTCGCTGTATTGCAGAGTCCTGTTTCAACGCTGACAACCCGTATGCAACTCATAAGGAAGACCTATTGCACCACATGGGGAAGGAGTCTTGGCATCAGGACCACCATTCCTTGCGGTGTCTCAGATCAAGCTGAAACTGAGGGCCTTGCCTTACCCGGTATGGATGATGGAATTCTCACCGAAAGAGAAGATATTATTTTGACTGATGATGGTATGGCTAGAGTCCAAGCCCTTCCTAACAGACCGTACAAATATGTGCTCACGGCCAGCTCTGCTGATTATAGTAAACATGAGGAAGTCTTCGGGGGAATTGCGAAGGTCCTCAGTGAAGGCGCCGTAGATGGTAACACTAACTACGAGGCTCAGGGACAGGCCTTTAGATATGCCACCTATCTTACTGAGTTCGGCTTCACTAATCTTGGAAAAACCAACCTCGATGGAACTCCGGCACGGGTACTCGTCGGCTACGCCGCCAACATGCCAGGAGGTGATACACTTGATGGGTTCGCTAAGGAAGGAATGGGGGCCGACTTCTTCACTGTGTACATGGATGGAAATGTTGATGGTAAAGTATTGAAGATGGAGGCCAGGAATAGCTATATGGGTAACGAACTCTATCAAGAAGTGTTGGTGACAGCTTACGGCGAGCTCAAGGGGGATATGAGCCTCAAGGAGGCTGTTGACGAGCTCCACGCCACTTATGCGAGTTCTGTTGAATACAACATGTCAGCACAGAACCCGTTCGTCAGCTCTGCATTCCGTACTCACAGTACCGCGATTGTGTCTGGGAAGTACCTGTCAGAAGCTGAGCGTCTATTCTATTCGGCTTATGAAGGACGTTGGTCGGTACTGGACTGGATGAAGAACGGTCGCGGCGCTCGAGGTCTTCGCAATAACAATGCGTCATCTATATTTAAACCTATCGAGTATTTTGGTATTGAACCAAACAGTGCTGCTGAAGAGTACTTTAAGAATCAAAACCATGGTAGGCAGCTTGCTCAAATGGCTTTCCCTGCAAATTGTAGCTTGACGAAGAAGCCGGATAGTGACATCTTCTGTGTCCATGCTGGAATAAACAGGGTCGGTGCTAAGAACACCATCGATGCCACTGGATCGCTGTTCGACCATTATTCGCCCGATGAAAAACGTATTTCGGCCGGATTCATACTCGTCCAGGAGAGCAACCTTGCTGTTGACCTCCATATATCTGGTGGGGGCACTGCCGTCGTCTTTTCAACCGATGGCGAAGTAAGCCTCGAGGCTACAGCTGGTTTTCAAGTTCTGGACGGTGGAAACCCTAGCTATTTCGATGGTCCAGTGAATATAGCCTGTGGTTATGTGCTCAGTGGCTCGGTGTCGCTCAAGTCTGGTAACACAGATCTGCTAACTGCTACATTCGGTGGTGTTGGAGTGGTCGGTGGCGGTGCCAATAATTATATCGGAAACTTACTCCCGCTGGAAGGTGGAATCGATGCCGGACTCGCCGGATTCATAGCTGAGGGTGAATTCTACGTTGAATCAACAGGTGGAAGTTTCCTGAAGTACACACTCGACTTCCCTGTTGCTTATGGTATCTGGGCGCCCTTCTACAAGCACACGGGTAGTTTGATTATCTTTAATCACACGGAGATCAACCTTATCAACATCTGATTGTGGCCCTGGATAGTACAAAATGTGTACTACAAATCTTGTTATCTCGATCACGGTACTTCTGATCCCTGTTAAGTCTTCTGTCTGCCGAGAAATGTCATCGATTCTTGCCGCCACTCCTACTGAGGAGTGACGCCTCATTTTTGCCCTCCTATCGCTCTACTTTTTGAATGAGTCTCATCATAGTCTGAGCACCTGCTTCTGGTGCAGGTGTGATCATAACGCGACTATAGTATCTGCTTCTTGACGCCTCATTATTTTCCAGCATGGTATCGCGTTGTTTATTGCGTGGAAAAAACTTCACGATTGAAAAAACGGCTTCAATCGTATGAAAAAAGTGAAAAATCGTAAACAAACATCTCCTCCGCGGAGTTGACTTGGTAAGGAGAATCGGGAATGATCCGAGAGCAATGAACAAAATCCACCAGCCGCTGCTGAGCTCAGACAATGGGGAAAACGGGCGTGCTGTGAAGCAGGGAAGCCAACCGGCCAGTTGAGTTGCACGAAGCCGCAAGGCTGGCCGAGGTGGCTGTATGATGTTCTTCTTGCCAGGAGACGAGTCGAGGAGTCTGCGGACGAGTTTCTCGTGTTGTGTGACACACACTATGTGTGCAACTGCTGAATACTGCAGCTCCCTTGAAAGTTGTGACCAGTAGCACAGATGCCCGACTGCGCTCGAACCGTCGGCACTGACTGTCTGATGCTGCCGGTGATGGTTTCTTGAGAGTCAAACACTATTGATTCTAACCCTTCTTGCGCTTTGAGCTGACCCGCCCTCGCGCGATCAAGTTGAACCGTTAAACAGTGTTTGGCGCTAGGTAAGGTCAACGTGTTTCCGGTTCAAACGCCCTCCGTCAAATATAAGATGACGCAATAAATAGGATCAAACAATGAGTTTGGTGCTGATGTGCACATACCTGTCAAAAGGCTGGCCTTGAATGCCTCTAGTAGCATCAACACAACCTGTCTAGTCCTCTACATCATTCTCTACATAGCAATGTACACAATATAATACCCGTCTCGGTACCGTTTGCCGGTTTTTCATTATCAAAAGCGAACGAAGCAGAAACATCCGCTGTTGTTGGGCTCGTGAAATTGGTTTCGACCGAGAAGTCGCCGAATGCGGTAGATGACGACCCACAAAGCTTTTCGGATAGCTGGGCATCCAATAGACCGAGTAGGGCGAGGAGGAGGGAGAGCAAGGAGTACTGAGGCATGCTTGTTTTCAACTACGAGGGAGATCTCAGCCAGTGTTGAGTTCATGATGGGCTCATAGAAACTCAAGTAGGGAAGTTCCCTAAGGGAACCTCTCATAAAACGAATAATTCATGCCGATTATTCATCCTATGAGATCCTCACGAGTAGCCACTTTTCTGACCAAAGTGGCCCGGCTCGATACTCACAGACTAAGGGCTACAGCGGAAGAAAGTAGGAGCCGCTCGTGATAACGCGAAGGCTTCCATTCTTCAGCCGGGCACCAATTGCGCGAGCCTCTGTGGCTCATGTAGACAGCACATGACGTGAGTTGCCTGAAGACGAGGAATTGGAATAAAAGTATTTCATATGATGATTAAAATAGATACAGCTACCATGGCTGAGCTATGAGCTGCCGACAGTACGTTTGCTTCAACTTGGACCTACAAAGAGTGACTTGGACCTTATCACGGAGACAAAGACTTGCAGTTACCGGAAATAGAATAGACAGCGGAAGGAGACAGCGTAGTGTTCAGATTGTCTATCGCTGGAGGGCCATACTCGACTTGGAAATTCCGAATAATCCTGAGGACTTGTCAAGTCCCGGGTAGTGCTCCGACCTTCACCTTTATAGCGTTGTGGCCCTTGCCCATCAGAGCTACTATACTCAGTTCTCACTAACCAGAAGAAGTTGAGTCAATTCTCGATTGACACAATAGTCTAGCCACTGGTACAGTAGATACGGCACGATCAGAAGTTGATTGCTAATGAGATGTTTCTGCGCTCGTCCGTTGTTGATTCATAGCTATCGTCAGTCTTCTGCTCGAAAAAAGCGTAGCTTCTCCACGGTTGAAGCCATGCTAGAGAGTTGTCTTCCGGGATTCTTCCGGCGAAGCAGAGTTCGGGACCGCGATTGTCACAATAGGTGCCGGCATAAGGAACATATGAGTCTCCTTCAAGCTACCTAGCTAGTGACGCTAGCCAGACGGACGTGACAATCTTGATTAGTCTCGTAGATGCGTTTAGCGAATTAGATTTTTTCGGTAGAAGCTTGCTATTCTGAGCGTCCTTTGTGTGACTTGCGTCACGCAAGTTGCGTGTCTCCCTCCGCAGTGCCCAGAGGGCACTCGTGAGTCGACAAGCTCCCTGCCACACCTCGGAGGCTAGAGATTACACATGATACAAGGTCTATATCAATCTTCTGATGGGCACTTGCTCCTCGTCCGTGAGCGGCGCCCAATCGGCGTTCCCGCCTCGTATGGTTGTCGACTCGACATTGTCGAGTTGCAACCAGTTGATGAAGAGTGCGATCCAGCCGATACGGCACTACTTCCCTATACTTCCAACCCCCAATAGTAAAACAAGACATCTCATCGTCACCGAGGAAACTGTTTCTTTTGTATTTCACTTTGTACTTGATCGATTCTGATATTACAAGCCGTCCAACAGCCTCTCACCCACTTTTCTATCTCCTTCTGACACTCGTTACAACAACCCTTCGGTTGAACAGGAGCTAGAGTAAAATCTTGCACAATCTGCTCGGCCTCGGGGTCCCTCCATGTCATCAGAAGCTGATAACAAGTTTCCCGCAGCACTTCGCAGAGAGTGTCAATCTCCTCGCTACTGCTATTTTTAACCAATGAAGTATGCGCTTCTCTCATTCGTTCAACGGCCGCCGCGATGACTGATTCGGCCTCTAGCACAGCAGCCTTCTTGGACGCCGCTCGTGATATAGCATAAGTTCGTGGCGGTGCGGAATGTTCTAGTGCATGTTCAAGCTTCTGGATGCGACGCTCCATGCAGAGTAGTTGTGCCTAAAAGAAGGCCTGGCCAGACAAACCAAGGCATGAGGGTTCGGCGATGTATGTTGTCAAGCGATCTACTGCAGATGAAGAGAGCGACGCCCTCAACAATTCGATCGAATGGGATGACAACAACGTCTCAGTACTGAAAGATGGCCGATGTCCGCATGGTTAACACACCTCCAAGGAGTGTGATTCAAGTTTCGTAGTTGGTGCTACGATCAACATAGTGAGATTCGTGTTTCCCTAATGATCAGGAATTAGAGCCTAATCTCACGTTGGTGACTCGAAGACGTCGTTCTGTCAAGAGCACCCCCTCTCTCCGCTCGAATTCGTTGTAAGAACCGAATTACATCGATTTCGAAGAAAGAGGCCATCCATGATCAATTGTCGACGATAGCACTAATTGAAAACGACGTAATATGACACTTTAAATACTGAACCGAGTCAATCCGGAAGGACTTCCTACCTTCAGGAAGAGTACTCGACGCTCAGTGAATTTCTCCTGACCTGCTTCCAATCTGAACTCCTCCATTATAGCATGCTCCAAATCTCTTTGTTTCTCCATAGCACGTATCTTCGCCTTCAAGGAATTCACAATTCCTCTCAGTCTCATATCTCCACTTTCACTTCCCTCGAACTTCATCTCCGCCGGTTGCAGGGTAGAAATCTTCATCGAGTCGGAGCTCTTAGTGCTCCATGTAGCAGTACGGGTGTTTTGATTTTTGAACATTTTCCTCTCAGCCACATCGCCGATGGAAGTCTCTGACTGTGCCAGAAAAGAAGGCAAACTACCGCGCATTTCCATGCTGATACAAACCCACTGGGCCAAGGAACAGAAGCTGGATGATCGAGCATAGTTGTTAACGCCCTATTCATTCACTACTCAACAGGAACAACACTAACTAGAGAAATTAGCATATCACCGGGAAAAAAACTTCGAACATCTAAACAATAGAGGTAACAACAAGTATCTCCTGTATTATCATAAAGTTGATTCACGCAACCACACTGAAATCATATACTGTCTTGGAGTAATATTTCTCATCTGGTCTGAGAAGAGTCGACGGGAAATCAGGACGGTTGGGCGAGTTGGGATAGTGCTGCGTCTCGATGGCAACACCATTGTTCTCCATGGGCAGATGGTTTCCAGTGTACAGTTGAATACCAGGCTCGTTAGAGGTAATATCCACACGACGACCAGTGGCGGCACAGTATAAACTGCCAACCGTCCTCATCTCCTTAGCCTCGCCAGAAATGACGATGTTGTGATCAATTCCATCCATCTCAGTCAACTGCTGGTCTTTCTCGGAAAGAGCATCACCAATAATCCTCGGAGAGGTGAAATCGAAAGCGGTACCTGAGAAGAGCAAATCCATTGCTAGCTTGTTCGATTCAGCAACGTCAGATGAGTAAACGATATAAAATAATATTCTCAGACTTATTCTCCAACGAGCAAAAACAAAATCAACAATGTAGTACGACCGACACAATCAGAATCAACAACATCAAATGATCCAACATAATACCGGAATCGAACATTCCACACAACATCGAAAGCAGACAGACCTTGAGGAATCAACTTACCCTTAACATCAGATGGAGCACCAGCAATGGGGATACCATTGTTCTCAACCTTCACGAATTCGTGACCATTTGGTAGACACAACTCGTGGTCGCGTATAGTCTGTGAATGGTCGTTGTTGAGGTTGAAGTAAGTATGATGTGTCAGATTGATAACAGTAGTAGCATCAGTAGTGGCATAGTACTCCATCGTCAACTTGCTACCGGTGATTGTGAAAACAACAGTGACATCCAAATTGCCGGGGAAACCTTGGTCGCCATCCTCGGAACGCATCGCGAAGGTCGCGGAAGCCGATTTTTCTGAACAACAACGAATACTCGGGGAGATAAAACGAGTGAAATCAAACTCACCATCACGGTAAGAATCCGTGTGCTTCCAAACCTTTTTGTTGAAACCATCGATACCACCATGGAGACAATGGTCCCCGTCATTGACGGTCAACTGATACTCCTTACCATCAACTGTCATACGGCCATTCAGAATCCTATTAGCATACCTGCAAAACATGATACAATTGGCAACACTCAGCACTGAAAAGAGACACTTACCTTCCTACACCACAGCACAGGTAGAGAGTGTCGTGAAGGTACTTCGTCCAATCATGGTCGTAGTTGAGGTTGACCGGAGAGAATTTCCCGTCACGATCAGGAGTCTCGAGACTGAGGATGTAGAGACCGTACTCGGCAATGGTCACTCTGATCTTGTCGTTAGAAAGCGTGACGATTTGACTATTTTTCAAATCTACAACTGAATTGCAGTCGACGGAATAGCACTCCATAATTGGAATCGAGTAAAAAAAGTAACAACTGAGGAGATGTTTCGATGGAATGCTCACCAAACAGTAGAGATCACCAACGCAATGACACCAATGATTAATTCAGCTGCACAGCGTCGCCGCTAGATACGGGCGTCGAGAAGAAAGATTTGTCACCGACACAAAACGGGACATCGATGAGTGGGGTATTCATTCATAGCGGAGTACCCATTTTAACGGTCCCTATATGCATCACACAGTTACGATAGATGGGAAGATGCTCACCGAATTCAAAATTATTTACTCCGACTGGGGCGCCTATGCCATTCCAAGAAAGCCTATTTCGTAGCTCTTAGTTTACTCTGACTGGGGCGCCCATGTCATTCCAAGCTATGCCTTAGTACAGGGAGGTACAGCATTTAGGATACCCTACTGCGGAGTATTGAGAGCTGTGGGTTAGACGGACGAAATCTTGCCAGTAGGGTTGGCGCGGATGAAATGGGCGGCAAGTTCGGAATTAACACCTTTATACTTCACCGACTAGATATTTGGGGGCGGCTATGCCACTGCCCAAAGATATGCCTTAGTACAATCAATTTCTCCGACTGGGGCGATTATGCCACTGCCCCAAGATATGCCTTAGTACAATCAATCCATCCGCCTGGGGCGATTATGCCACGACCCAAAGATACGCCTTTGTACAGTCAGTTCCTCCCAGTGGGGCGGCTATGCCACTACCCCAAGATATGCCCTGGTACAATCAATTTCTCTACCTGAGGCGGCTATGCCTCCGCCCTAAGATATGCCTCAATCATCATCCCAAGATTTGTCCAAGTAAAATTCAATTGAGTCGGTACGACCAGAGCAACTCTAATGACCTCGATAAACTATGGGAATCAATTACGCTTCTTCAAGTGAGCCTTTCATCTCCTGAACTACTCCTACTACTATCTTTGGGCTCTTATCCAACAGTCCATACTCGTCCTTAACAACGTTTGTAAAGCTGATCAGATACCTCCAGCTCGGTTACGCAGAGTGTTGTCTATCGCGTTATGTGCCGCATTAGGGCTCGAGCCAAGCATGTCTTGCCTGAAGTGCCCTTCAATAGGATCGTTAGGTCCGGCAGCAAGACACTCGCTATCTACTGGCTGAGCCTGATAGTGGCATCCTCGTTGGAAAATAGGAGAGGCAGCGAGGGGCGTTCATTTGAAGTGGAAGGAAGGGCCTCCGGACTGGTGATGGGTCTTAAAGATGCCTATCCACTCACAGCAGCGGATTCGCTCATAATGGGAGCAACAACTACTATAACAACAACATATGCATTTCACTCCTCAACAAACGAATGCAGCTTCATCCACGGAGAGCATGTCAGAATCTCGGTGAAAGGATATTTCTTTCGTTCATCAGACCACAGCTGGAGAGCCAGTCACGTCTTGTGAGTATACGTTCGGTGCTGCACCGTCGAGGCAAACGTGACGAGCAGTCCCGTTACTGGCCATGACGCTCGCGGAGAAGGGATCTCAACTGTGGCTAGACTATTCCAGCGGGCCTGATGCAGCCTCGTATTCTCCAGGTGGTCACAGCTTCCCACCAACAACTGGAAGCAAAATGGCAGGATGTGGATACTGGACTTCGATGGCTGGCTGACGGTTGACTGGGAAGTCTAACCATAGTGAGATTCGTGTTGCCCTAATCTAGCGTCCTTCACCCAAGGACGTCGTTT